CCTAAACCCTAAACCCAAGACCCTGCCCTGCATGTCTGCACCGTAGGTGTCCGGGCAGACCTGGTCGGCTCGGAGGCCCTCTGAAGGGGGTGTACTAAACTGAACTAAACTAAGTTCTACTATAGATATGGACAAAAAGAGCGTATTTCGGGGTTATTTTGGGCCTGCTTTCGGGGTTTGAAGGCTTATGGGGCTTAGGGGTGTAGGGTTTAGGCTTTCGGATTTGGGATATAGAGTTAACGGCTGCGCCGATACATTGTGATACGTAGTCTTGTTCAGCTCATGTTCGTATGTGGTTATATGGTCTGTCGCTATATGATCATAACTCACTGATGCTACATTGCTACATGACTTAGTCGTCTTGGTGGTCGCGCTGCTCTACTACTGCTGTGTTGATGACCACTTGGCTGTGCCACTATGCTGTTGACGGTTGTGACTGTCGTTCCTGAATGTGGTGTAGCACTAGATTGCAGCTTCGCATACTTGGAACATCTTGGAACGCTGTTGCCTGTACAGCCGGTGTTGTGTTTGGGGATATGAACAATCTGTGTGTTGCGCCTTGTGCTGCTCTATGGCTATGTTGCTTTACACGTGTCCTTCTGCACTGTCTGTTTAGTGTGTTCGTATGCTGCTGGAACCTGCTGTTGCGAGTATACCATAGTATTCCTGTCTCATTCGTACATGTCCTGTTCTTATACGATCCAACCAACCCAAAGCTATGACTACCTGGATCCTAAACCCTATACCCTACATGTGTATCTATGAGAATTCCTTCTGACCCTGATCCCCTGTGGAGGCTTTTGAGACCATGAAAGCATCGACCACGACGGTCACAACAGCTTCCTGCTTGTCTCGATGATTTACGGTTTAGGGCCAAGTTTAGGGCTTGACGATAGTACGTAAAGTAAGCCTGCGGAGAGTGATCGACGAAGGGCATAATCTGGTTTAGTGCTGTGGAGTGTTGTGTCTTTGGAGGCTAGGCAAAATCCGCGACTTGTGCTTTCCGGTAGAAGATAGATCTATAGATAGATGTATAGATAGAGGGTTAGAGACTTACTAGTCATAGACTGCATGATGTTCTATCAAGATAATTGGCGGGCTCGGAGGAGGGCGTCAAGTAGAGACCGGTGGTCCCTCAGCCTTTTCCGTCAAGCAATCAAGGATCCATTTGCGTGGAAGACGTCAAAGGGAGCCTGTATCTCCGCCGGCAAAGGCGAGATCAATACAGGCCGTCGTGGAGTGGGTTTAGGGTTTGAGGTTTTGTTCGTTCCCGAAACCAAGTAAATCCGAAGCCCTACTGCTGGATTGCGGGGAAACCTTGCAGCTGTGGGTGCTTCTTTCCGACAGGCATGGCCAATGTGGGCAACATGTCCTCAAAAGACTGCCACGAAGCGTGCCGATCCTTAGCCGAACTTGAAATTGATGCCGTTCTGTGTCAACCATGTGCATGGAACAGGCAAGGGACATGTTGAGACTTGAGTGTTGTAATCAAGACCCAGCCAACAACACAGCCTCGTGCGGTTGATGGTTGCACGACATGCGCGGCTCTGCCAGCTTCATACCTTGGGCTATGTTTGCATTTGCAGACCCTCCTTCCTAGTCCAGAGTCATTTCCTGATGGACTGAGGAAACCAAATCCGATGCACTGCATTTCAACTGGCATTGACTGGGCCTGGCATTGGTGTTTGCCACCCGGTCAGAATTCGGCAGAATGGCTTTCTGTCTTAGCAGGCTGTTGCAAGGTTCTTCTGTCCAAGATAGAGAAGCGTAAACTTTCGCGTTCCAAATTAAATATATCTATACTCTAATTCTGAAGGATTACACAGTGCTTTTCTGACCGGAAGCATGCCATGCTGCCTCGATCGCATCTCAGGCTCCCTTCACACAGCTGCCTCGGTACCTTGGCAACGGAGTTCCGCGGAAACCGGCTCTCCGTGGTCTTACAGAGACATGATGCTAAGTGATGAAGCCAAACTCTACACCCTGAACCCCAAAACCCTGCACCCTAAACCCTAAATCCTCTTGCTCAGATGGAAAAGGCCACTACACTTAAAAAAAAACCCTAATCCTAAACCCTGAACCTCTAAACAACAAGTTCGCATCCTGCTGTGAGGTCACAGGAGGCACTGGCACAGAGGGAGCCATCTGCAGCATCAAGCCCATGCTGGTTAGCTGCGGGCAGATTCTTGGCTTCCATTAGGTTCAGTTTGCGAAGTTCGATAAGCACTACCACAAAGCTACAAAGTCGTTTCAAAACTTAAAAGAAAATTCATGAAGCCTTGCAAAACCGCCGTAAAACCCGCATGGGCGGCGGGCCTACAGTGAAGTTGCTGCCGAAATCCCCCAGGCATAACAGCGAGGATTGTGCGGAGGGCTATGCAGTGGCCGACTACCACAAGTCCATGCTTGGATTCTGTCAGACTCTCGGCTCCGTCAAGCTTCGAAGGCTACTTTGGGGTTCAGGCTTAAGGGGTTTAGGGTTTAATAATTAGGGTTTCGGGGTTCAGGATTTAGGGGTTTAAGGGGATAAGCTCTGGTGTTCAGAGTCCTGTTTAGCAACTTTCACAAGAGAACATGAACGGCTCACATGGGTAGCTGTCAAAATCATGGTCGCTTGTGGGGGAGCCCATCTAATACTACTCTTAATCCGGCACCCTTTTGCTTTGGGAACCCAAAAGAGATCATAATTTGCACAGCCACCTGTAGAAAGATCTCGTGAGCCGAGGAAGTGCATTGCCAGCGACGGGGACTCGCTGCTCCGGGACAGGCCTCACCCGATTCAGCCCTAAACCCTTACCCCGAAGCCCTAGGCAGTGGCAGTCCCAAGAGGGCAAAAAGTGTGTCACTAAGCCCTAAGCGCTGGCTAAACCCTAAACCCTAAACCCTATAAACCCTAAACCCTAAACCCTAAACCCTAGACCCTAGACCCTGAAACCTGTCGTACCCTAGAGCCAAGCGACCGTGAGGTGTCAACTCTGCTGCGAGAAGTGTCCGTTCAGCCAGGATGCCGGAATCCTGCCAGGAGCCTTTTGGGGGCTCTTTCGGGCTTAGGGTTTAGGGTTTACATAGAGTTTGGGGTCTAGGGTTCAGGGTTTAGGGTTTAGGGTTTAGGGTTTAGGGCTTGGGGTCTTGACGTCTTGTGATGCCCTTGTCGTTCCTTCAGCGTCTCAGTTCCCTTTTGCCGCTCACTTTGCCTTGCGCATCAAGGACCCCTGGTTGGCGGCGAGGGCAAGACAAGTCTCGTCTGCATCTTGTCTCAAACTAAACGCCGCAGCAAACCAAACCGATTCATGGAACCTTGGCACTGAACCAAACGGAAACATGAAACCGGACCGTTTAGGGGTTGAGGGGTTTAGGGAGTTTAGGGTTTACAGGGGTTTAGGGGTTTAGGGCTAGGGCTTAGGGGTCTATGGCTTATGGGTTTCCGGGGTTTCGGAGTTTAGGGTTTTCGGGTTTAGGCCCAACCGGGCATCTGGCTTTCGCTGAGGCGAGCCCAACACTTTTGATTTGGATGACAACGTGTCCAACGGCTGCGAGGCCAGGGGACACCCAGATCCGCAAAGCTCCGGCATCCACCGGCCAGGATCTGGGGTTTCGGGTTTGGGGTTTAGGGTATATTCATAGGGGGTTTATAGGTTTATAGGGGTTTAGGGGTTTAGGGTTTAGGGTTTCGGGTTTAGGGTTTAGGGGCGTGAATGACAGGTAGCTGGCAGTAAATCATGTGGGAGAAGGGAAGGATTACATAGGTTGACAGGAAGACTTTCTGTGCGCTACTCCCCAAGAGCAAACAGCAAGAACAATCTGTTGCAGCGAGTTCTACCGGCCAGGCAGGCTGTCCGGCTGTCTTTGGGGCGAAGTGCCAGCACCCCAGAACGTGGTGTCTATGAGTGCATCACAGCTTCGTCGTGATTTCTCAGGTGTGGAGTGCCCCACTCCGACGAACTGCACGCAGATGAGCTGCAAGGACAACTACTACGACGAGGATGGTGGCCTGGCAGCAGCTGAACGATCGGACGCGAGAGTGTCGGAAGAAACTGTGAATGCGAAGAGTGTGCTCGAGAAGCGGCTTGTTGAGCTCAGAAGGGCGGGTTGGGAAAGATGATCAGAAGCAATCAACGGCGTGGCTCAGGAAACATCAGCAATGGCTGCGAGGTCCTCTGTCCGAGCGTGCACAACGCCGTGTGCAAGAGGTGTCAAGATAGCCTCTGAGCTCAATAAGAGTCTTTGGGCCGAAGGGGCTTCCCGTTTAAGGTCAAAACAGCAGCAGGACCCCCAAATCCCAAATCCGAAAGCCAAGCAAACAGCACCTCCAAAAAACCCCTAAACCCTAAACCCTAAACCCTAAACCCCTAAACCCCTAAACCCTGTGACCCCCCCAGGTATTTGCACTCTTTTCGATTGCAAGCCCCCTAAACCCTAAACCCTGTGACCCCCCCAGGTATTTGCACTCTTTTCGATTGCAAGCCTGGCTTCTTCGACGGCGACTTCAACGTACGAAATGGTTGCGAGGCACCCTGTCCTGAGGCGAGGCCCGCTGTGGTTTAGGGTTTAGGGTTTAGGGTTTAGGGTGTGGGACTTCTCCTCCTCCATAGGTCAGATCGGTCAGGTTCTGTAAGGGTTTAGGGTTTAGGGTTTAGGATTTAGGGTTTAGGGTTTAGGGTTCAGGGTTTAGGGTTTAGGGTTTAGGGTTTAGGGTGTAAGACAGCAGGAACTTGTTCAGTTTGTTTGCGGTTTTCGCATCCGAAAGGCTTGCCAAACTGTCAAAGTCATCTATCCCTAAACCCCGAAACCTCTAAACCTTAAGCCTTCAGCCCCTGAACCGCCCTAACCCCTAAACCCAAGCCCCTTAAGCACCTAAACCCCAAACCCTATACCTCGAAAGGGAGCCCTATCGCAGAACCCTATACTATAAATGATGACCAACTCCATTTCGGGGGTCCCTTATTCTCATTATATCATAATATGCCCCAAAACCCTATTGTAATTATTAAGGCCCCTATATTGTCCTTTAAGTCGCCTATAATTTATATACCCCAAAACCCGATTCTGATTATTGAGGCCCTGTTCCCTGTGGTATGCAGGTGCCCTTCGCCGACTGCGTTCTTTGCCAGGGGCCCTGGGTCTGCAAGGCAGGTGGGCATTAGGGTTTAGGGATTAGGTTCAGGGTTTAAGGTTTAGGGTTTAGGGGTTTGGGTTTAGGGGTTTGGGGCTTAGGGTTTAGGGTTTATGGGTTTAGGGTTTTCGGGGTTTGGGTTTAGGGGTTAGGGGTTCGAGTTTTTGGGTTTAGGGTTTAGGGGTTTAGGGATTCGAGTTTTTGGGTTTAGGGTTTAGGGGTTTGGGTTTAGGGGTTAGGGGTTTGGGTTTGGGGCATAGGCTTAGGGGTTCGAGTTTTGGGGTCGGCTTAGGGGCTTGGGTTTAGGGTTTAGGGCTTAGGGTTTAGGGTTTAGGGTTTAGGGCTTAGGGTTTAGGGTTTAGGGTTTCGGGCTGGGGGTTTTGGGGCTTAGGGTTTATAGGGATTAGAGTTTGGAACGGCTTGTTTCCCAGGAGTTTCGGGTTTGGGTTTGCGCTTCCATGCTCAAGAGGCCGTTTCTTTTGGGTTTGGGTGCTATGTAAGGGGTTTAGAAGCTTAGGGTTTTGTGATTTATAGGGCTTAGGGAAGCCTGAGGAAAGGTTGGGGTCTGCCCTAAACCCTAAACCCTAAACCCTAAACCCTAAACCCTAAACCCTAAACCCTAAACTGTCCTGTAAGACTTGACCATTAAAGTGTTCTGACCCGGCCAGGACTACAAATGCCATGCGAATAGATTCGAGGTGGATCAAAACTACTCGAACGGCTGCGCAACTCGGCAGGAGTCGGAGGATTTGCTGCGAGTCTCTGTACCTAGAGTTTTGTTTCAGGGTCCTAAGAGAGCTAGCTACCTTTTTCCAGGGTTCCTCTGAAGGGCTCCACAAAGCCATTTAGGGTTTAGGGTTTAGGGTCCCTTATTAAGGGTTTGGGCGGATTCGACTGGAAGACCCTGGCGCCTCAGGAAGCGACATGCCCTTCCCGGCCGCATGCGTCCTGCCCCGAGTGCCACAATCCTTTCAAGTGCGCGAAGGCGCTGAGCTGCGACAAGGCCCGTCCTCAGGGGCCCCAAGCGTCTCTGGGAGGTTTTAGTTCCCCTCAACCCTACAACCCTTAAAGCCCTAAATCCTTATCCCTGAACCCCAGTATGCTGTAGTGCTGTTATAGATGATGTGAACCCTTTTGGGATTCGGGCTTGGGGCTCATGGGCTCCTGACACCCTGCAGGACTGGTACGATGCCGACGCGGTCGAAGAGAACGGCTGTGAAGTGTGTGGGCCCCGGGTACAGCATTGAAGAGTCCTGGCAAGTTCACGGCGAATACTGCCAACCTGTTGTTCTTTCCCGTGGACCGCTGGTGATACTGTTTACAATGGCAATACAAGTAGAATAAGTAAAAGAACGGGCGAGAGTCTTTGGCCCCCAGGGGACGGTCGCACGGTGCACTCGACCTCCACGTAGTTATAGATCCCTTATAAAGTTTGAAACCCTTCGGAGGACCCCTGAACAGAGCCCTATTCTACTTATGAAGGTGCCTAAAACTTAAAACCCTCTTGGTTACCCTTCTAGGGCTGCTAGAGATCCCTTGAAGGAGCCTGATTCCAACGATGATGACCCCTGTACTAAGACCCATTATGGTACTTATAATAATTGCCGCTATAGCATCCCTTGTAAGGCCCCTTTAGTATCCCTTATAGTAACCCTCCAGCCGACTCTGTGACTTCAGGCAATGTCCGAGCGTCAAGCGTGGCACCTGCCTTGCCTGCAGCAGCCTGGCTGAAGACGCTAAACTGACGGGTCGGGATACCTTAGTGAGACGTAGTACTGCCCCCGTATAGTCCGGAACATCGTTGTAGTATAGTACGCCCTACAAACCCCTCTTCTAATTGGTAGCCCCTAAACCCTAAACCCTAAACCCTATGGCTCCTACATTGGGGAGTCGCCCTTTAGACTCCCATAAGCCCCCATGGCAAGCCCTGAAGATCCGCTAGCCGTATACTACATCCTGTGAGGCTTCTAGCGGCCTTCATGCCCAACCGATATAGGGCACTGAATATTTAGACAATCGGGCTTTGGGGTATGTTATACTATAATTAGAACAAGGAGCCCCCAAAACCCTGTTCTGATTATTAAGGCCCCTACATTTATCCTCTGAAACACTCGCCCCCTATGTGCCCATATCCAACCTCAAGCCGCCGACCCCACGAGCTCCGCAGTAGTCTTTGTCTTGTTGCTTATTGCCAGTCTTCTTCTTATTCGTAGTATTTTGGGCTGTAGGATGATGAATGTTACAGTAGTCTTCAACCCCTACGTAAGCTTCTAAGCTTGGCCTCATGAACAAAATCAGGGATTCATCGGACGAGCATGCAGATTGCTTAGCGCAGGATTCGGATTTTTATGGCAAGCGTGTTTTGCTGTGCTGGGGTGGCCGTCCCTTCCAGCTTCGCCGGAAGCGGCTCCCTCGGTATTTGTAGTCCCTAAACTAAGGGCTCGGGCTTCGGGCTCTGAAGGTTTAGGGCTCAAAGGCTTTAGGGATTGGCTTAAGGGCGTAGGGCGTCAGCTCCAGGGTCCAAGGGTTCAGGTTCAGGATCGACGAGACTACGACTACTGCTACTACTACTACTGCTACTACTACTACTACTACTACTACCAACCAACCTCTTAGGGTGGGTATCTTGGGGTCAGACTTGGGCTCTCTGATGCATTGGGCGACATCCTTGGTCGCACTTGGGCCCAGTCGGGTTTAGGGTTTTAGGGTCTAGGGTTCAGGGGGCCTTAATACCAGTAACAAGGACCTATGCCTATAAGGCTTGTTTAAGCCCAGTCCTCGTGAGCTAGGCGGGAAACCTTTGGAATGCTTCGACATCCTTTGCGACGGCAGCTGGTTTGACGTGGATGGCAAGATCGAGCCACTGGGCTTCGGGGTTGACTTTTACGTCGCTTGCTCTTAGGGCCACATGGGCTTCGGGGTTTAGGGTTTTAAGATTAGACCCCTTAGACCCTCAACCTCTCAAAGTGAAGGGTTTAGGGATTCGACTGTAGGGTTTGGGGCTGAGGGTTCTGTAGGACTTAGCTAGATTCCTGTCTGTCTACACTGCGACAGCCCAACCACGTGCTGTTGTAAATTGCACACAGATGCCTCGCTCCCGACATGACTGGTGTGACAGAAGTTCCCTTCTTCCACATATATATATATATATAATACTATATTATATATTAAACTATAGCTGTATTAGGGAACCCCTAATTATTTAGGCCCCTATATTATTCTTCCTCTCCTTTAAATGCTCCAAGACTAAAGCCAGTGCGATGACGATGGTCAAGCGAAAGACTTCAAGAGAGCTGCCATACGCAATCATAAAGGCACTGCAGCCACTTGTCCTGATCACAAGCACAAGGAAGGCAAAGGCTGCAAGTGGTTCAGGGATCCACTGAAGTGTGCTTGCTTGAGCAGGTGATGGTTTCTGAGTAGCTGTCATCAGTCTCGTGGTCATCGTAAGCCTATTTCGCAATGCTTATACTGAAGGACGGGCTGCGAAGTCACTTGCGCCCCAGTCCCGCACGGAGCCTTGGCAGGCTTTAAAAATGGCATCTCGGGCAGAAGCAGTTCGCCGGGCCAACATCTTCCGCTTGCCGTGATGTGGGAGTTTCCGAAAATAGGGGACCCTAATCTAGTACCCTAAATAGTAGGACCCTTAACATAAGAACCCCAAAATAAGATACCCTAAATTTCCGGAAGTTCCCATGTAAGGAAACTGCACCAGCTGCAGCACTCCGGAGAAGTGTACAACTGTCTCCTGCCTCTCGGATGGCATTTTGGGGTTTAGGGTTTAGGGTTTAGGGTTTAGGTCAGAGTTTCACGGTTGGGGTCCTCTCTCGGGCAGACGGGTTCGGGCTTTGGGGACGCGACAGGTGACGTGAATCGCTTCGACTCGGACGGGATCGTGGAGAATGGCTGTGAGGCATGCAGACTTTCTTCGTGTATCTAGCTGGAATGCGCAAGCCTAGCCTGGTGTAGCATCGATGTAGTCGAGTCCTCATTCATTGCACTTCTACTATGACAGCATACATCAAAACCCTGTCAAAAATGAGTAGTTAGGACCCTCGTCCTAAAGCCTTGATAGCTTTGCCTGTTGGCGGTGAAGACGGGTGTTGGACTATTGGCCTGGCTTTTGGCAGATGGCGTGCAGACTCATGTAAAGCCAAAAAGGAGCCTGAAGAACTACTGTTGATGATATTAGGGTTTAGGGTTTAGGGTTAAAGCCTGCGTTACCTTAAGGACCTTAAGGTATGGCTTAGTATAGTATATTCCTCATTATGGGTCATGCAGGATTTAGATTATCAACAGTAGTGAAGCCATTGCTTACGATTCTTGATTCTAAGCAAAACCCTGTTCTAATTATGCAGGTCCCCATCTTAGAGTCTCACCATAAAACATCGTGGTTGTGGTGCCTCTTAGTGTTTGAAACTCCAAAAGCATGCGTAGTAGGGGCCTAAACCCTGAACCCTGAACCCTAATCCCTAAACCTTGAACCC